AGACCGCGGTGAGAGACCACCCCCGGCGCACCCCCTCGGGTGTCGAGAAAGTGCCACGCCTGCTAGGCCCTGCGACATTGGCGCGTATAGGGACCGCGGTGAGAGACCACCCCCTGCGCACCCCCTCCTGTGTCGAGAAAGTGCCACGCCTGCTAGGCCCTGCGACATTGGCGCGTATAGAGACCGCGGTGAGAGACCACCCCCTGCGCACCCCCTGCGGTGTCGAGAAAGTGCCACGCCTGCTAGGCCCTGCGACATTGGCGCGTCTAGAGACCGCGGTGAGAGACCACCCCCTGCGCACCCCCTCCGGTGTCGAGAAAGTGCCACGCCTGCTAGGCCCTGCGACATTGGCGCGTTTAGAGACCGCGGTGAGAGACCACCCCCTGCGCACCCCCTCCGGTGTCGAGAAAGTGCCACGCCTGCTAGGCCCTACGACATTGGCGCGTATAGAGACCGCGGTGAGAGACCACCCCCTGCGCACCCCCTCCGGTGTCGAGAAAGTGCCACGCCTGCTAGGCCCTGCGACATTGGCGCGTGCGCCGTATAGAGACCGCGGTGAGGAGATCGGCCCTGCGCACCCCCTCTGGTGTCCCTAGAAGTCCACCTGCTAGGCCCTGCGAACATTGGCTCGTACGTTAAATAGGGAGCCGCGGTGAGATACACACCCCTGCGCACTCCCCTCCGGTGTCGAGAAAGTGACACGCCTGCTAGGCCCTGCGACATTGGCGGCGTACTTAGAGACCGCGGTGAGAGACCACCCCCTGCGCACCCCCCGGCCTCTGGTGTCGAAAAAGTGCACGCCTGCTAGGCCCTGCGAACTTGGCGCGTATAGGAACCGCGGTGTGAGAGACCACGCCCTGGCGCACGCCCTCTGGTTCGAGAAAGTTCACGCCCTGCTAGGCCCTGCGACATTGGCGCGTATAGAGACCGCGGTGAAAGACCAACCCCCGGCGCACCCCCTGTGGTGTCCGGAGAAAAAGTGCCACGCCTGCTAGGCCCTGCGACATTGGCGCGTATGGTGACCGCGGTGAGAGACCACCCCCTGCGCACCCCCTCTGGAGTCGAGAAAGTGCCACGCCTGCTAGGCCCTGCGACATTGGCGCGTATAGAGACCGCGGTGAAAGACCACCCCCGTGCGCACGCCCTCTGGTGTCGAGAAAGTGCCACGCCTGCTAGGCCCTGCGACATTGGCGCGTATAGGGGCCGCGGTGAGAGACCACCCCCTGCGCACCCCCTCGGTGTCGAGAAAGTGCCACGCCTGCTAGGCCCTGCGACATTGGCGCGTATAGGGACCGCGGTGAGAGACCACCCCCTGCGCACCCCCTCTGGTGTCGAGAAAGTGCCACGCCTGCTAGGCCCTGCGACATTGGCGCGGACCGCGGTGCATAGCCACGCCCTAGGCCCCGACATTGGCGCGTATAGGGACCGCGGTGAGAGACCACCCCCTGCGCACCCCCTCCGGTGTCGAGAAAGTGCCACGCCTGCTAGGCCCTGCGACATTGGCGCGTATAGGGACCGCGGTGAGAGACCACCCCCTGCGCACCCCCTCCGGTGTCGAGAAAGTGCCACGCCTGCTAGGCCCTGCGACATTGGCGCGTATAGGGACCGCGGTGAGAGACCACCCCCTGCGCACCCCCTCCGGTGTCGAGAAAGTGCCACGCCTGCTAGGCCCTGCGACATTGGCGCGTATAGGGACCGCGGTGAGAGACCACCCCCTGCGCACCCCCTCCGGTGTCGAAAGTGCCACGCCTGCTAGGCCCTGCGACATTGGCGCGTATAGGACCGCGGTGAGAGACCACCCCCTGCGCACCCCCTCCGGTGTCGAGAAAGTGCCACGCCTGCTAGGCCCTGCGACATTGGCGCGTATAGAGACCGCGGTGACAGACCACCCCCTGCGCAGCCCCCTCCGGTGTCGAGAAAGTGCCACGCCTGCTAGGCCCTGCGACATTGGCGCGTATAGAGACCGCGGTGAGAGACCACCCCCTGCGCACCCCCTCCGGTGTCGAGAAAGTGCCACGCCTGCTAGGCCCTGCGCCACGGCCTGCATAGAGCCTCCTGCCATCCACTGCGAATCCTACACGCACGTCTTATATCTGGCATGGTATGTGTATGTGTATGATCCGTGTGCGGCTAGCGCACCCTCTCTGGTGTCGAGAAAGTGCCACTACTGTGCTGTGCTGTGCCGAGCTGAGCTGTGCTGAGCAGCGCTGTGTTGTGCTGCGCTGCGCTGTGATGTGCGTGAGGTGAAAAAGAAGGAGAAGGAGAGGGAGGAGAAGGAGAAGGAGGAGACGCGGGTGAGACGCGGAAGGGAAGAAAACCAGAACCCCACGAAGCATGTGGGGAAAAACGCCCTCATCGTCTTTGATTGTTCCCCCTTTGGGAGTGTCTCTTGCTTGCCTGCCACGTGTGGTTGGCGCGGACCTTACCGTGGGAGGATGTAAGAAAGAACAGGGAGATACAGTCGAGCTGGATTGGAGAGGACACGCGAGAGGACACAAAACCCTTCCGAGGGCCGCATTGCCATGAGAATTTAGAAGGCATGGGTCGCGAAGCACAGGACACAAAGGTACCCTTGATTTGGCAGGGTCGACCCAGTAATCAAACTCTACTGTTGCGGGGAAAGGAGAAGGGAATGGGAATGGAGGGGGGCAAGAGGAAGGGAGGATGATCGAGGGCGGACAAAATCTCGCAGGCGGGGGAGGAGAAAGGAACAGTGCCCGTGGCCAGCGGACCCTCACGGGCGGGTCGGGCGGGCGAGGCGGTGAAAGCGAGCGGGGGAGGCTCCAAGCACGTGACCCGCCAGACCCTGACGGACGGGTCGGGCGGGCGGACCCGACTGATCGGGTCAGATGGAAGCGGGCGTGCGGGCTTCCAAGCTTATGCTGCTCCCATCGCACGTAGGGACCACGCCCCGGCAAGAACTCGGAGCACCCAGAGAAATATAGAAACAGGTCTCCCAAGGCCGGACTCGTGAACACCCTCCAATGTTGGGTACGTTCTTGCTGCTCGAATTGTTTCTGGTGGTCAAGGCCAAAGTCTCACTGCACCGGCCACGCAGGCGTGCTGCAGCGGATTTCTGCGTGGAGTTCTTCGTGGATTTTTGCCCGAAGCGGCGAGCGAAAGACGAAGTGAAGTTCGCGCGGGTTCTTTCTGGGTCTTCATTCCTGACCAAAAAAATCCGCACGAAATTCACCTCAAAACCCAGAACGCGATTCTCCAGGACACCCCGGGCCCACCCTGTCGTTTTCCGCCGTTCTGCGACGTTGGCGCGATGATATTCTTTCTGATGGTCAAAGCCAGAGTAGCCTGGAGCATCACCATTCCAGGGAAGCGAACGGGCGGACCCTCACGAACGGGTTGGGCGGGCAGACTCTCGCAGGCGGATCCAGCGGGCGGGCCCCAACAACGGAGCGGATCGGGCGGGCGGGGCGTCGACGCGAGCTTCGCAAATCGGAAGGAGCCTCAAGCGAGAGCACGGGCCCCGAGTAAATTGCGAGGATGTGTCGTGCGAGAGCGCGACTCGTGGGCGTCGAGAACGCACCACCGTAGTAAATGGCACGGCGAGGGCACGATTCCAGAGTAAATTGTGAGGAAAGCCCGCACGAGGGTGCGATCTTGAGTAAACTGCGAAGAAATATAAAGCGAAAGTTGTTGAAGTCTGGGGGCCAGGAGCGGATTTTGACCAGGAAAATTTGTCTGATACCAAAAAACAAGGCGCGAACCCGAAGGGTGGGGCAGTTCACATGAAAAATTACACTGGGCACCGGAGTGGGATATCAACAAGAATCCTTCTTGAGAAATGAACATCCCATGGGGGAATTTTCGGAGGCAACTCATGGGAGCCTCCCATGCCATCTTGTCAGCTCTTGCGAATCGACGCCACTGGACGCTAAGTCGAGGCTAATCGACGCTAAGTCGACGCTAATCGACGCTAACCGACGCTAAATCGGCACAATCTCATCGACTCCCAGACGCTAATCGACGTTAAAAGCAAAATTGCGAGGGTACGTAAATCTCCCTCATTGCACATGCCTTGCAGACGTGGTGCAGCGGATTTTTGCGTGGATTTTTGCCCGAAGCGGCGAGCGAACAACGAAGTGAATTTGGCGTGGGTTCTGTCTGACTTTCACTCCTGGCTCAAAAAAAACGCACGAGATCCACCTCGAAATCCGGAGCGAAACTCTCCAGGAAAAGCCGGGTCCACCCAAGTGTTTTCCGAACGAAATCCGCTCTGCGATGTTGGCGCCATGGGGCTCCCACGATTTGCCACCGAAGGAGCTCCACGGCCCCCCTTGGAACGCGCTCCGACTAAGATCTCGAGGCGAGCCGTGGCTGCGAGGGAGGGCTGGCGGTATCGGTACACTTCTCTTCCCCCGACGCATGGACATCCCGTGCGCATCCAAACGCGCCCGGTGTGCCACTTGACGAGATGCAGAGGGACTTCTCCGTCAGCGGCGAGGCGGCGATCTCCGCTCCAGCGAGAAGCTAGAAAGGGGCACTTGCTAGCGAAGTGGCCGGCGGGCAGAGAGAGAGGGGGGGGGCGGCCGAGAGGAAGAAGGGACGCTCAGACGACGAAGAGTTCGGCGGTGAGCGAAAGGATGCAGAGGGACATACCACGGTCGGAAATTCTTGGATTGCATGTCGCCACAGCGGCCCCGTCGACACGCTATCCCCTGCGAGCGGACAGCGCGTCGCTCCGCTCCGAGGGGCGGGAGGTTCGGGAAGGCTCGGGACATGGACGGCTCGGGGCTGCGAAGTCGATAGCGTGTCGCACCGAAGCGCGGTGGGCCAAAGCCGGCGGAGCGACACGCCATCCGAAAGTTGCCGACCGTAGTGCCGTGAGCTGATGTTACGGGAACAAAACACCACATGAACATAAACTTTTGGAGGTCCGCGCGGATTTCTTGGATCCGCGCCAGACCCCCCTCCCCGGCGCGCGGAGCGCGACAGGGGGCGGCGCCAGAGGCGCCGCCAGGGGGGCCCAGCGCTGATGCAAGAGATCCGCGCGGAGCGCCAAAAGTTTATGCTCATATGATGCTTTCTCCTTCGAGATGCTGGAGGCGCATGTCCGACGAGAGCATGTAGCACACAGGCCTCACGCCACAGAGCGCCCACCGCGGAGCTCCTACTGTGAGATTCCCGAGAGCGCGCGCGCCGCCCGTGCTGACTGCCTGCCAGGCCACCCCAAACCCGACCCGAAGACCCGAATATTTGGCCCGAATTGCGGGTTGGGGGGGGTGCGGGTTCCATGTGTTCCTGCCGTGTTCCCCGACCCCCACGGCTCCGCGCGGATTTCTTGGATCAGCGCTGGGGCCCCCCTGGCGGCGCCTCCAACGCCGCCCCTGTCGCGCTCCGCGCGCCGGGGAGGGGGGTCCGGCGCGGATCCAAGAAATCCGCACGGACCCCCCCACCACACTGGAAATGAAGGGCAAGTTGAAGCCTTCGGGTTGGGTTGGGGTGGTTTGGTGGGCGGTGACTTGCGGGGCCGACGCGTACATGGTGTGGGCGTGTTTGGGTGGGGCCGACGTGAACCTCCCAGGCACATCAAATGATTGATCAAAAAAGGACCCCTAACCCTTTGGGAGGGGACCTACGTTGGCAAGGCCAAAGACGTCAGGGACGGGGGGCCGTTTCTGCAGATGCATCAGACCAAGCCGCCCAGAGTCCTTATCCCCGATGCGACGACGGGGACCTCAGCGAGGTCATGTCTTCGTCGTGTCATTTTAGTGTCAGGGGCTCATTTCGCGCTCGATGATCACAACCCGAGCTCGGCGAGCGGAGGCCTCCGAGCTCTTCGAAGAGGGGCCCCCGGCCCTCTGAGGAGCCCCCCGGCCTGCCTGGGAGGCCGCCCCCCTCGCGCCACCTCCCCCCCCAACCCGCCGCCGACTTCCTCCTCCTCCTCGTCCTCGTCCTCCTCCTCCTCCTCGTCCTCCTCCTCCTCCTCCTCCTCCTCCTCCTCCTCCTCCTCCTCCTCCTCCTCCTCCTCCTCCTCCTCCTCGTCGCCAGGTGCCCCAGGCAGCTCCCCACCCGAGACGGCTCTCCACGAGACGACCCCCGCCGAGAGGCTGGGCCCCGAGGCCCCGCGGAGCCCCCCCCCCCCCACGCCCGAGGCGCGACGGCGGCACGGGGCCGCGGGCCACCAGACCCGCCGCCCCCCGTCAGTAGACGAGCGCGTTCCACTACTCGCAGAGTAACTCCTCGCAAGTGGCCTGGATCCCCCGCGGGGGATCTACGATGAAAAAAAAATTTAGAACAAACAACAACAACAACAACAACAACAACAACAACAACAACAACAACAACAACAACAACAACAACAACAACAACAACAACAACAACAACAACAACAACAAAAACAACAACAACAACAACAACACGACAAAAACAACAACAACAACAGCAACAACAACAACAACAACAACAACAAAAAACACAAAAAAAAAAAAAAAAAAAAAAAAAAAAAAAAAAAAAAAAAAAAAAAAAAACGCAGGTCCCCCGCGGGGGATCTACAATAAACGACATCAAAGCAGACCCGTGTTTTTTCTGACGCTTGCGAGTAGGCACTTCGCGAGTAGTGGAACGCGCTCGGTGAGTTAGGGGACCGAACAATGACATAAACGAAAAAGCTCGAAGGTCCGCGCGGATTTCTCGGATCCGCGCTGGGGCCCCCCTGGCGGCGCCTCCGGCGCCGCCCCTGGCGCGCTCCGCGCGCCGCCAGGGGGGTCCAGCGCCGATCCGAGGAATCCGCGCGGACCTCCGAGCTTTTTTATTTATGTCATTGTTCGTCCCCCTAACGACGGCGGCACGGGCCGCGGGCCACCAGACCCGCCGCCCCCGTGGGTCCGCAGGGGTTCGTCGCCGTTGCTTCCTCCCTGCACGCTGGACGATTCGCCTCTGGGGGGGCCCGAAGAGCCCCACGCTGGTGCGGACTGCCTCTGCCCCGCCACCGGGTGCGTGCCGGGGGATCCACTCGCGACATCGGGTCGGGCCGGGAGCGGATCGGACCGCCAGCAGATCGTCCCGAACCGGATCGAATCGAAATCGGATCGCCGCGCCGAGCTCTGGACGGCCCTGGCCGATGCCGGTGAATCGAACCGAGTCGCATCGAATCGGAATCGCTCGGAGGGTGTGCGGCCCCGGCTTGGCCGACAGAGCCTCTCCACAGGGCCGCCCAGCTCACGCCGCGCCGCGGCCCCTGGCCAGCGCCAAAACGGCCAGACCCAGACATCCGATGCCTTCCCAAACATGCGACGTCCTAATTTTTTCGGGACGGCGTCCCTGGAAAGTCCCGACCCTTTCCCCGGGACTGGTTTTTCGTCCTGGATCGTTTTGCTGAAGGTCCCGAGGCTCGGCGAGGGCCCCCGGAGGCCGAAAACACCCAAAAACCTCCCGCCCTGATTTCTTCACGACGCGAGCAGCTCTGGGCTGCTTTTGTCTATACGGGGCCCCAAGAAGTCCCGACCCGTTTCCCTGGGGCTGGCTTTTCGTCCCGAGGCGGGGATTTATCCATATCCACCGCCTGGGAGCCGACATCCTGGTGCCGCAGCGGGCGGTGGATATGGATATATCTCGGCCATATCCACCGCCTGCCGAGGCTCCGAAAACTGACCCTCCGGGCGGTGGATATGTATAAATTCCCGCCTCGGAGAGTCGTTTTTGGACGGTCCCTGGCCAGCAGGGACGCCGAGGAGGCCACAAATTGCCAAGCACCTTCCGTCGTAGTATTTTCGCCGCGGCGCGAGTTTTTTATGCCTGGGGAGCCTCCCCCCAGGACGCCGCCTGGGAAGCCCAGAAGAGAGACCGGCCTTCCACCGTGCTGCTTTCACGACGCGAGCAGGCAGGCGAGCCCAGAATCGAGCCTCTGGGTCGAGTCGGCGATCGAAGTGAATCGGGTACGCGGACATCGTCAGTCGAGTCGGGAGGAGCGGAAGGCTGGTGAGGCCTCCAAAGAAAAACCAAAATCCAAATCGCAGTCCGAAGTCGAATCGAATCGGAACCAGAATCGACCGAAACCGGATCGGATCGACTCGCGCCGGAGGGCATCGAAAAGCTTCCTGAGAGCACGCCCGGGAAGCCCCCGAGGCGCGCGACCCGAGACGAATCCCCGAGGGCGGCGGCGGTCTTCGCCGCCGCCGAGGCGGCCCAGAAGAGAGGCCCGAGACGCGCGACCCATTACCAGCCTGGAACAGATCCCTATCCCTATGCTGGGCACCTCCTCATCACGATGCCAATCTTAGGGATTCCCTTATTTTTTGAGGGCGGATCCCTAAGATTGTCGCCTTTTGGCGTGTCAATCTTAGGGATAGGGATACGTTCGAGGCTGGTAAACCCATGGCGAGTCCCCGAGGGCGGCGGCGGGTCGGGGCGCAGCTTCGGTGCAGAGGGCGTGCGCGGCGGCTGCGCCCGCGCCAGGCAGCGCGGGGCAGCGGCGCGCACAGGGGGCACGAGGAGGGGGCGAGGGAGGAGGGGGAGGAGGGGGAGGAGGGGGAGGAGGAGGAGGAGGAGGAGGAGGAGGAGGAGGAGGAGGAGGAGGAGGAGGAGGAGGAGGAGGAGGAGGACGGAGGGGGGGGGGGAGGGGGGGGGGGCGCGGGACGCGCGGGGGCGGAAGCGAGGGACGGGGGCGCGGCGGGGCGTGGGCGCGCGGGGGCGGGGGGGGGATGGAAGGGGGCGGGGGGGGGGGGGCGGGCGGGTGGGCGGGGGGGACGGGGGGGGGCCAGGGGGGGGGCGGCGGGGGGGCGGGGAGGTCGCACGCCAGACGCAGCCAGGACGAGGACGAGCTGGGGCGAATAGAAATTCGAGGGTCTCTGAGAGCGCGGCGGCTCCGAAGGATGCCTCGGGCGCCGCGGCCTTCTCGGAGCGTTCCAGGGAGCGCTCCGAGAGCGTTCCGGGAACGCCCTGGAAGCGATCTATCCTCGCGGGAGCCTCCCATGCCATCTTGTCGGCTCTTGCGAATCGACGCTAATCGGCGCTAAATCGATGCTGAATCGACGCTGACCGACGCTGAATCGGCACTATCCCATCGACTCCAGACGCGAATCGACGCTAGTCGACGCTTAAAGCGAGGTTGAGAGGGCACACAAGGCTCCCATGATTTGCTGCCGAGCATGGCCCCGGCCCCCCGAGGGGGGCCCAGAGGGGCGCGAGGGGAGAGAGGTCGGAAGGGCGACGGGCGAGGGGGCGGAGAGGTCGAGGGGCGGGGCGGGGGGCCCCTGCTCCCGCCTCCGACGCCGACGCCTCTGGCCCAGGAGGCCAGGGGGGGAGAGGCGAACGCGGCAGGGGCCCGTGAGGAGCGCCTTGCTCATCGAGGGCGCCGCGTCCTCCCGCCCACTGATCCTCTGCCACTCCACCCGCTTTCCCTTCCTCGCCTCCCTCCCTCCCTCCCTCCCTCCCTCGCTCCCTCGCTCCCTCGCTCCCTCGCTCCCTCGCTCCCTCGCTCCCTCGCTCCTCCTCCGCCTCCTCCTCCTCCTCCTCCTCCTCCTCCTTCTCCTACTGCTCCGCCTCCTCCTCTTCTTCATGTTACCATTATTATTCGTATTACTAGTATATTTCGTTCTAATCTTAGTATTAGTACTTGTGTCATCATTGTTAACACGATTAGTGTCATGAGTATTATTATTAGTAGAAGTATTAATGTTGTTATTATTATGAGTGATATTAGTAGTATTAATATTAATAATATGGCTACTAGTATGAATAGCATTCGCATTCTGATTCCTAATAGTATTAGTCATCTTACTACTATTAAAATTAGTAGTATTATTCTTCGTTTTAGTATTAGTATTAGTATTAACTGTTGTTATTAGTTTTACTAGTAGTATTGTCATTATCATTGTTAGTATTCTTAATATGCTTATTCACATTGTGAGTATTATTAGTATTACTAGTCTTATAATTATTAGTATGGTTGTTATTCTTATCAGTATTAATACTCTTTAGTATTACTAATATTCTTATTCGTAGCATGCATATTCGCATTAGTGTTATAATCCTTAGTCGTATGAGTATTCGTCTTCTTCCTATAACTACTATTATTCCTACTCCGCCTCATCATCATAATCATCATCAGCAGCAGCATCATCAGCAGCATCATCATCAGAAGTATTAACATCAGCATCAGCATCTTCATCATCAGCATCATCATATTCATCTGCATCATAAGTGTCATCATCATAAGTGTCATCATCAGCAGCAGCAGCATCAGCATTATCATCATCCTCATCATCATGATAATCATATTCATAATCATGATCATCATCAACAACATCATCAGCATCATCATCATCATCATCATAATGGTCCTCTTCCTCATCCTCCTCGTCTTCCTCCTTCTCCTCATCCTCCTCCTCCTCCTTCTCCTCCTTCTCCTCATCCTCCTCCTCCTCGCGCTAGTGATCGTCCTCCCGCCTGCCTCACTCTTCGTCCCCCCTCCCCCCGCGCGCGCGATAAACCCCCGGCGTGCGCGGAGAGGGGGGCCTTCTCCCCCGTTCCCCGCGAGAACGGAAGGGGGGAGGGTTTATGTGGTCTGGTGTATACGTCCTGGTGGTCTTGGTGAGGGGGGGTCCCCAGAACATTCGCCGGCGAGCGGTGAGAAGAAGAGGTGTTGGAGCGAAGAGCTGAGCTTTAGACATGTGGAGGAGCCAGGAGGAAATGGCACTGGCAAAGGGCAGCTGCCCGAGCAGCTGCAGCAGGGCTGGGATAAACCCTGCCTGCAATTTATCACTGGCTGTCTGTATTCCCACGACTGGTGTGCACCCGCTGTTGGAAAGGGAATCACAAAATTACATTCAAAGCGAGCACCATCATCTTTCTTGTATTTCTGAAAGTGCATCCCAAAAAAAAACAAAATTCTGGCACCGAACATGTGTTTGCGCCTGTGCCGCTGCTGCTGTCCACGTGGCTCCCTTCTTTGGCGCTGCTCTCAGCCTTGCGCCTTCAGACAGCCCTCTCTGGCAAACGTTGCGCAGGCCCAGGAGAACTGGGCACCACAGGAGCACGACGCTCCTCGCAAAAACCGCACCGCTGCGCCATCGTCCTGACGGACGTGCGCCTGCGCGCGAGCGGGGCAGGCGGAGGAAGGATGAGCACCCAGGCCTCCGACGCCCGATGCTTGTGCTGGGTTACCAGCTGGAATAAGAAGCGGCAAGGCATAAACTATCGGAGTCCCGCGAGGATTTCTTGGATCGGCGCTGGATACCCCTCCCTGGTGCGCGCGCCCAGGGCGGCGCCAGACGCGCCCCGAGGCGCCCCCAGCGCCAATCCAAGAACTCCGCGCGAACCTCCGAAAACTCCTGTGTCGATGCTGGCGCTTCCTCTTCAGGACACGCTGGGCGCTTAGGGTCAGGTCGGGAATGTCCTCCTACAGGCGGCTTTTGCACGAAACATAAAATGATCGGAAAAGAATAACAAATAGTCAAAAATAGTCCACAAGTCGTCCCCTGACTGCTACTTCTGAATTTTCCTCTTGTAAAGGGACAGGCCCGACTTAAGATTAGGACCTCTCGAAACCCCAAAACACCCCGCGGAGACCCCTCGCGCCGCGGGCCACCTCTTATTATTCTATCTCTCTCTCTCTCTCTCTCGCTCTCTCTTTCGGGGGCGTCCAACAGGGGGGCGTCCAAGAGGAGGCTTCGCAAATCATGGCCCGAGGCATGTGCGCGGCCCAGGGGGGAGAGCCAAGGGGCATCTTGAGACAAGAAACGAGGGCCATGAAACCTGGGGAGGCTTCATGGCCCTTGCCGTGATACCCACCCACCCCCCTGCCCAAACATCCGGCGTCTCGATTTGTTCGAAACACAGGCCCCGACCTCTTGACCACTTCCCCAGGACCGCTTCTTCATCCCGAGCCGCTTCTTGACGGCCCCGAGGCCTGGCAAGGGCCCCGAGAGGCCGAAGATGACGAAAAACTTCAGCCTCAATCGCTTCGAGCCGCCAGAGGTTTGGGTAGGCATTGCCCCCCTCTTGGCCGCCCCCGACGCTCTCTGAGACGAAGCCAAGACAACCTCACCTCAAGGAAACCCAGGGGCAGAGGGTCAGGAGGAGCAGCAGAAGGAGGAGGAGGAGAAGGAAGAGGAGGAGGAAGAGGAGGAGGAGGAGGAGGAAGAGGAGGAGGGGGAGGAGGAGGAGGAGGAGGAGGAGGAGAAGGAGGAAGAGGAGGAGGAGAAGGGTGAGGACAGACCGCGAAGCTCTGACATCCAGCGGCTCTGGAGGATGTCTCGGGCGCTGCGGCCAGCCTCTCCAGAGCGTGCGTTCCAGAACGCTCCGAAAGCGCCCCAGGGAACGCCCAGGGAAGGATTCATCCCCGTCCTAGCCTTCGGTTTAAGTCGGGCCTGTCCCTCAACAGGAAGAATATTCGAAAATAGTTAAAAAATAGTCTGAGGACGATGTTTTCATCATTTTTGAGCATCTTCGAATACTGTCGGTCTATTCTTCATTTTCCGTCGAAAATCGGCCTGTAGGGGACACGCCCGACCTAACCTTAGGTGGGGCATGTCCTCCTACAGGCGGATTTCGGAAGCAAGCTCTACAGATGTTCACGGATGGTCAAAGACGGCCCCAACTAGTCGAACCAGCGTCACCAGACTATTTTTTCACGATTCTGGAACATTCCTCCTGTGGAGGAACGTGCCCGAATGAATCCTGGCCCCGTCCGATTCCCTCTCTCTCTCTCTCTCTGGCCAGTCCCCCACGGGCCTGGGCCCAGGGCGGACGCCCCTTCAGAAAGAGGGGGCCCGGGCTCGGGCAGGCCAGGGGCCCCGGTGTGTTGCTGCCTTGCGCTGCCCTGGCTCTCCTGGAGGGCGTTCCTTGGCATACTTCGGCGAAGCTGCTCTTATGTCGCCCTCCTTCTCCTCTTCCTCCTCCTCCTCCGCCCTTCTCCTTCTCCTCCTGCTCCTCCTTCTTCTTCTCCTCCTTCTCCCTCTCATTCTGCTCCTCCTCCTCCTCCTTCTACTCATCCTCCTCCTCCTCCTTGACCTCCTCCTCCTTCTCCTCTGCTGGCACTGCGCCCCCGCCAGGCTCACTATGTGTCGCCGCACCGTCCGCTCTCCGAGCGCGCCCAAAAAAGAGACGAAGCCGACACCGCGGCAGACCCACGCCAGACCTTGCGTCCGAGGCGGAATTTGCCCTGGTGGCCGAGGCGCCCTCCCCAAGACGTAACCCCGCGCGTCGGAACAAACGGAGCGGCGACATACGTCGCTTGTTTTTTCGTAGGGCACTTTGTTACTGCGCCCCCGCCAAGTTCTGTCATGCCCAAAAATTAATTTCGCTGGTGGGGGGTTCTTCAGCAACTCCAGCGCCGAATGTCGACGGTGCGCCGAAGTCACGATATGACTTGCCACTGGCGCCGTCGCCAAATTCTAGATGGCCGAATGTGAAATTCTGCCACAGCGGCGTTTTGAAGCGACCCCGCCGCGGCAAACAATCTGGTGGGGGAGGGGGAGTGGGAGGTGTGCGCCGATGACCTAACCTTTTCGCCTTGGACAGCCCCACGTATGGCCGCGCGCACCAGCACTGCGTACGCCCTTCGGACCTGCACAACCAACAAGGTCAGGTTATCCGGGGGAAGGCGGGGGGGCGGGGGGGCCCGATAACCCAGGTGATCGCCGACCCGTAAAAACAGTCTCCTGGACGCCAGGGGTCCTCCAAGAGACATGCGCGCCCAGCCACGCACATACGGCCCCCCTGGTCCGCGGCGCCAGCGTCGCGTCACGAGCGCTCGCGCAACGCATGCTCTCGAAAACACTAAACCTCGGCGTGATACTTCACGGACGGTTGGTCCAACTCAGCGGGGGGATTAGCGGAGTGTGCCAAGCCGGTTACCACCGAGCGTGCACCAAACGGGTGCCTCCTCCTCCTCCTCCTCCTCCTGCTACCGAAGGGAGGGGGGGGGGGGCGCGCGCACTGAGAATTCACAAATTTTCGGCGTCGCGGCCACGCGCGCGGCGGCGCGGCGTAGACAATTGAACGGGAGAGCGCGCGACTGGGCCGGCTCACGCGGGAGGGGGACCAGGGATCCGCCCCTTATGGAGGGTGAAAGAGGGGGTCTGCAACAGGGGGTCTTCAAT